GTCTCAATGAAATGAATATTTTATTGACAGGTCTAGCATCGATAAGGTCTCTCATGTCATTCTAAAGCACTACCTGGTACAGTTGTTACAGATAAGCAATGGCACCATTGAATCGAAAGTCGACAATTTTCCAGGTGAGTTCAGCCTCTTCTTCATTGTATTCTCTTTGGAAGGCACAAACATATGAATTTGCCCGGATATCGTCCTCAGAACCTTCCACAACTTCCCCGGTTTCCTTCTTTCTGACACAGTTTATTTGTTGGCACATGAAATGCAGCAGAATAATGGGAGACCCCCTATTGACTTCGTCGGGCTGGAATGAAAGAATGAAGTAAACACGCAGGTTAGTAAGTATCAATCTCGCCATTCATTTACTGCAACAAAAATATTCATTCAGTTTCATTTTCTTACCTCCACAGCCAAAATCTCGGAATTCATAATCCCCAAAACATGAGTATCAATTTGAACTCCTTCTTGTTTCCGCGCCTCCGCTTCCGAAGCAAGTCGTTTGAACACGGCTTCTCCCAACCACGGTTTGAGTTGATTGACTTTTCCTTGCAGGAACCATTCCATAATTTGTGGCAATGTGTATCCCACAACATCTCGTCTCCAATCATCGAGTGTAAATTCGGGATCCAGAATACGCAATTCCTTGACGGCAATCGATTCGGCCGTTTCGGCCGTCAATGTATCGTAGACGGAACTGGCCCGGTAGACCCACGGATTTTGCGAGGTTTCCCAGGCTTCCCGTGCATCTTCTCTCAAATCGTCTACTTTGGCTTTGGCGTCCTTGGCACCCGACTTGACGTATATATCTTCCCCTTTTTCGAGCATGTTCTGAATAATGGGTGCTTCGGTCAACCGTCGTTGCATGCGTTCCCATGCCGTCAAATGCTCGGATTCGTCAATGACCATGATACTGACGGGACCCGTGTATTCCTGTTCGCCTTCTGCCGTGGCGTGGGGTGTCAAATCTTGTCGCAATTTTTTATTAATATCTTTGCGTTCTCCCGCCTTGACCAATTCTTGCCACGTGTTACCCACTTCGGCCGTGAAATTGTCAAACCAATTGGCGGCTTGATGGAGTATGTCTTTACTGCTACTATCGACATCCCCGCTCCTAGTTGTGTCTTTATTGTTTTTCAGCCGATTCACAGTATCACGAAGAGAGTCTCCACTACTCGATTCTTTGGTATTATCATCATTTTTGACTGCTTCTTCCTTGACGTCTTCTTCTTCCTCCTTTTTCTTGTCTTGCTCTTCTTTGGGAGGAGGAGAAGTGGCCAAGTGACGACTCCACACGGATGGGAATCCCTTTTGTTCCTTGGCCAAAATAGATTGCTGGAGTCGAGAAGCAGGTCGAATTCTGGCAGAAGAGGCCCTGCTGGCAAGGATAGAGCGAGAGCCCTGCAGGAAAAGCCGACGGGAGGGAATCATATTGGTGATGTGATAGTGGTTTGCTTTTATGTTGTTGAGCTGGCCTTGATTATTTTGATGCTTTGGAGTTGTTGGGCTTCTCTCCAATCTTGCAACTGCAGCGATCTCTGCCGATCCTTTTTTCTTTGGCCTTCTGCTTTCTCAATTCGTGGTGTGATGCAGTTGGTTGTGTGACTTGTGTGGTGGCAGCCGAAAGAACATTCCAGAAGAACGAACTTCTTGGAGGATTTAGACGTCTGGCCATCAACCGTGATTTTCCCACCACCAACCAACATCGCCTCTCACTTTTTCTTTGTTGCAACCCTCGCTCTTTGGTACTACTGTAGTACCGTATCTCCTTCAGCACTCACTCTGCAAGCTACTAGCACAAGCTCAGCTATCACAAATCAAGTAACTGAGAGCATCAAAAGCCACAAGAAAACATCAACCATGCCCAAGTCCAAGCGTACCAGAGTCGGTAAGTTTCATACGACATATGAACGGGAAATCCAAAAAGAAATAGAACGATGGCCTCATCCCATTTCTCTCGTTTTCTTTCTTTTTCTATATTAATAGTCCACTTGACCGAAACCAGCAAACGGTCTACCCGCGAACACAAGACGAAATACATTGACGAAGTTCGCACTGCGGTGGATAAGCATGATACCCTCTATCTCTTTTCCTTTGAGAATATGAGATCCAACAAATTCAAACAAGTCCGCATGCAGTTTCGCGCCAACGACATGGACGAGGCTCCCTCTCGCATTTTCTTGGGCAAGAACAAATTGCTCCAAGTGGCGTTGGGACGAACGCCCGAAGACGAATACAGTGACAATCTACGACAAGTCAGTAAGCGGATTACCGGTGGATCGGTCGGATTGTTGTTTACTTGCCGATCTCCCACGGAAGTGGAAGACTATTTTGCCAATTTGTGCGAACCCGATTTTGCCCGTGCGGGGTTTGTGGCACCGCGAGCGGTCACCATTCAATTGGAACAATTGGCGCATTTCCCAGTCAGTATGGTGGAACAATTCCGCACGTTGGGATTGCCCACCAAGGTGGATAATGGCACGATTATCTTGATGGACGGGAAACAGGAACATCGAATCTGTAAAGAGGGTGAAACACTCAGTGCGGAGCAGTGCAAGTTATTGACACAGTTTGATCAGAAAATTGCCGAATTCAAAGTCAAATTGGAATGCCGATGGACTCGTAGTTCGGGACAATTTGATCATCTTTAAACAACGAAGCGACAAGCAGCAACGTACGGTACTGGGTGGCAGTGGAGATGCGCCATTGTTGGAAGGAGTTACCTACGAAGAACTTGCGAGAAGAAGGAGAATGTGATTTGTAGGTAGTGTCTACTTATTTGCAATTTACTACAGTACCAAGGACACTGGTTAGTTCGCTATCGCTTCGTCCAACGATCTCAAGTGAGAATATGGTGTTCATTTTTTTCCAGCATTAGTATAGTCTTAGGCATTCTTTGGTTGACCTGCTACACTGACCAGATTGATGCAGTATCGGTTTCCGCTCTTGTCTGGAAGGTTATGGCCAAGGTGTGTCTGAGGCAGCAGTGCAAAATATGAAAGTATGAGAATCAATCAATCGTTCTCAAGTTTGCAAATGTCATTACAATTCTAGTGTAGCACTAGTACTTACTCCATCCACCGACACGGTCTCTCCAGAGTTTCGTAGCACTCTCACATTTTCCCACACCACTTCTTCGTCTCGAAAGGAAGGCCATCCGTGGATTTGACTCTCTCGAACGAATTGCTCGGGAGATCGATTCAACGGAGCCACAAAGAGGGGGTTGCCAGTGACGGAATCGTAAAACGTAATGGGCCCCTTGGCACTCATGACTTGTTCTTCAAAGGAAGTCCTGGAGAAATAGCCACCCATTTCGGCAAAGTGGCGACTACCATACAAGAAACAGAAGCAACGATGAGATGGTTGGTTCTCAGATAAATGAGGGTAAACGTAACAGCACCAACCGAGACGCACTTACTTGTAGTTGCAAATCTTGTCGGCCAACTGGTTGTTAACGCCATAGAGCAAATCAGATTGCACTGGTTGCAAGCTTGTACCGTGAGTTTTCTACCGTACGTAGAAGGGTACATTCAGGTAGTATGAAAAGTAGGTGTGAGACGCATCGTAGCCAGAGATTCACTTGTAGGTAAATGCACAATTACATCCAACTTGCCTGACTCATGATGGACTCGTCTCCAAACTGAACGGAACCACCGACCTTCACGTCATCAGCAGAAGCCACAGTTGGAAGAGCTCCAGCCACGAGAGCCAAAACAGACGATTGGACAAAAGATCTGCGTGCATTCGGCGGTTCCATGTACAAGGCCGTGGTCAACCGTTCTGCCTTTTGTGGAGCACTGGCAGAAAAGGCCATGCACGATGCCTCCAATGAGGCAACGAAAAGGCTAACAAGCAGTAACTTGGAGGAGTTCATCATCATCTTCTTCTTGGAGTCTTCGTCTTGGAGAGTTTGTGGGCATGTGGTGGCTCGTTGCCTCGAGACGAAAAAACAGAGCTCAGTTTGGGGACTGAGTCAGCATCGTGACTCCGTAAGTCACGAGACTCACGTTTCCTGCAAAGCTGCTGGAAGGATCAGAACAAAGAGTTGGATCTTTCGCGGCAAATGAACTCCCGTACAACATCGACTGGAGCGATCGCCAAAAGAACAGAAAGACTGGCAACATGGCAAAACATAGCAACCACCAGTCCCATGTGCGTGGGAAGAAAGATAGATCCCAAGGATCCAGGTCTTCTCTTGTTAGGGTATGGTCATACTGAGTTGATTGGAATGCATCCATCCAGTCGCCAAAGCAAGCTGGCAAGATGCAAATGTCACCAGAGAAAGCTCAAAGCTTCATAGGAGTGCTTTTAGTTACTAGACACCATACCACCGCCGCCGAGGCCAAGCCCATGCCTCCTACTGTACTAGCTAGCTACTCCAGTAGAAAACTGAATAGGTTTCTTTCGGTCGCTCCAAGACACCCAGTACCCTTGATTAACTGGTGAATTTCTGCATGATCAAGAGATAGATAGATACATACCTGGAGATCATTCAATCAGCTGCAAGATCCAGAAGAGTCAACATCTGATTCTTTGTTTGCACAAATACAGAAAACAGACAGAAAAACATACAACCATTACTACCTCACGATGGTTCAAGTCCGCGTTGCCGACGTTGTCGCCATTCTTGCCGCCTTGTCTCCATTTGGAGCGCCATCTGTTCCAGTTCTGGAAAAGACTACCGAAAAAGGTCTCGACTATGCCATTTATCTTCCACCCAACTTTAACCCCACTCAATCCTACAATCTGCTGGTGCATCTCCATGGGGCAGCCTCGCCCTACTTTTTCATGCTACGGGAACTCAGGCTCACGGGAGAGCTCTTGGAACAACATTCCGTTGACAACCTCATTGTTCTGGCACCTCATGATGCCACCAAATGGTCACTCTGGGTCGATGGAGACACCATTGACATGGCCACCCAGGTCTTTGATGAGCTGATCCCACAAATCAAACGTGAATATAACATTCAGAAACAGTTCCTCCAAGGATTCAGCATGGGAGGGTTTGGTGCCGCTGTGCATGGACATCGCTTTGATTCAACAGTGGTTTGGGATGGAGCCTTGCATGATTGGGAATCTCTTGAGAACATAAATCTACCCTATATCCAACACCAGTTTGTCAGGACCAACTTTACAGTCCATCCCTACACGGGGACACCTCCAGCCAAGTCACTCCTCATTGGTGGCTCTTTTCCCAGTACAAAAGCTCGGAGTGAACAATGGAACCAATACATGCAGTCACAACCAGCAGTGGAACATGAGTTTATACCAACCACATTGCCGCATACATACCGATCGTTTGCGCTGGAACACTTTGACAAGGCCGTGGCATTGTGGAATTGATTGATGAGTGAAGTGAGGCACTCTTGGTTACGTTGCACAATGAATATTGAGGGGGGCGCAACTTTAGGGAACTATTACGCACGAAAAGCGTTCTGGAGAGCCGTGATGGGTTCTCGATCTGTGCGTGTTTTCAAAAGCTTCAGACCAACAACAGTTCCAATAGATGCCCCTTTCCCCGGTCCCTTCGGGCGGCGTACACCAGCAATCCACATCCGGATTCGATTCGATACAACCAGTCTTGATAACCTTGATCAAACTGCATTTACTACTATATATCTAGACCTTTGTTACCGATGGTTTGGTCTCCATTCGTTGCCGTCCATACAATGTTTTCTGCACTCCAAATATATAATCAGCCTTGCCAAATATGAATATGTGCAACAGAAACGAGTTTGACAGGTCAGCCACTCTCCTCGCCTGCCTTGAACTAGATCCTCAGGAGAAGGAGCCGATACCGTATCATTACCGGTAGCCTTTGGTAGTATCTGGAGAGAAGCAGTATTTGGAGAGAACTTGAAAGATTGCCCCTACTAGTAACACGCTGTCTCAAGACTATCTAGCTAAACTGGTATCTTGAGTCGCAACACAAGCAAATCTGGAAACGAGCATGAAGCCGCATGTCTCTTGTCGAACTATCCAGCTGATTGTTTCTCTGTCCACAGCTCTAGCTCCCCTCCTGACGGACGCAATCCTTCCTCCATCTTCATCTTGAAGGTCCCCCCATGCCAACTTTGCCATGCGCCAGCTAGACTGTTACGAAACTGTTGCACGCGGCATTTCTTCCAGAGAGGACCCGTGGTATTCTGACGACACTACCTCCATATGTTTGCTTTGGAACTCAACTTTGGATGTAGAGAGAGCATGTTGGAAGATCAAGTGCGCACGATAAAAATTGAAGGATCCGCCAATGAGAAAGAGAACAGAACCTAGGATGAACTGACTCCCCAGGTAGTGATAGAGTTGATGAGCGTCTTCCTCTGATTCAAAGCTCCACAAGTAGGGCACCGAACCAGAGAGAAAGAGTGTCGACCCAATCAAGTAGCATACGGCTGTGAGATTGGCATAAAGAGCAGACGCCCGTGTTGGAGAGTCAAAGATTTGAATCGCATTGTAGACTGCTCCAAAGATGAAGAGCAGAGATCCAGCAATGAAATTGTAGGCTCCAGCTCTGTAGGCACCCACAGAGGGAAGAAACTGATAGCTTCCCACAATAAAGACAAGGCCTCCTGCACAATACGTGCTGGCTGCCAGCACGTCCACAGTCTTTGGATTAGAAGCATGCATCAGCCTGTGGAGATCGTGACCAGACACAATCAAGTAAAGGAAGGATCCAATGATGAAGAGCCAGGATCCAATATGGATATACTCTTCGTACTTAGGCAGAAAGAGGACTGACCCAATGATGAAGATGACGCCTCCTGTCAAGTAGCAAATTGCATTGAAGATTTCCCATCGGAAATGGTTGCGCAAATCTTCGGGAAAACGAGCGAATGGACGATTGACAAACAGATGCGGCATTGTTGGCTGAATGGATTTGGTTTGTTGAGTGTCCTCGGCCTCGAATGATCGGCGGTAGTGCCGGTACCAACAGTGCTATGCATACCGCAGTAACCGGGACATCGTGACATAGAAACAAAGCTCTTGGTTTGGCGATTTGGGGCGACGGCGTCTTTGCGTCTTTGCCATCAGATTCGAGTTTCAGTCGCTGGATCTTTCGGTAAGACGCGGTATTTTGAACATTACCCGAACTACCTCTCACAAATCAAGAAAGATACGAAACTTCAAGCCAATGGCGATGAGGTGATGGGACCACCTTCCGCACAACTTCGACGATCCCGACAATGAAAGCGTCGGTTCTAGTACAGTCATCCCTCGTTTGGCTGCTTCTGTTCCCCAGATATGCTACCCCCTTTTTGCTCCAGGCCAGGACTGGGCCTCTGTTGATAAGGTCCACCTCTGTTCTTTCTAAAAACACCCCCCCTCACTTATGGGACCGTTGACCCCAGGTTTAACCGGAGCGAAGCGATGGTTAAACCGTGGGGGCAGGTCCCTTAAGTGAGGTGGTGTGTATTAGAGGCAATACACCGATGGGCGGTGCCGACAGTAATTAAGGCGGTGATTTAATAATATTACAGGTGTTTATTTATTTATGAAGGTGAAAAATACTGTTTAAAGAGGTGTTCTCTGTGACAAACGGACAGCATTGAGAACAGTAAAAAAGCACTGAAATCGTGAAAATCCCAACCAACAATACTACATGAGTAATGGTAACAACACCAACAACATCACAATGGCCACACCAACCGGCCATCGCGGCGAGCGACAAGCACACCCACAACCGCAGAAGCCCTCGCGGTGTTTGAGCAACACACCCACAACAAAAAGCCCTCGCGGCGAGCGACAGACCCACAGCAACAAGCCCTCGCGGCGAGCGACAAACCGACTGCAGAAAGTCAAATGCCGACAGACCGACAGCAATAAGCCCTCGCGGCGCTTGAGCGACACACCCACAACAACAAGCCCTCACGGCGAGCGACACAACCACAACCACAACAACAAGAAGCCCTCGCGGCGAGCGACACAACCACGACAAGCCCTCGCGCCAAGCGACAGGCCAACTGCACAACAGCAGCCCTCGCGGCGAGCGACAAACCCAGAAGAAGCAGTCGTCGCAGTAGTAGTGGGTCGACCACAATAAACACCAACAACGACAAAACATAAAATAGTGCTTCGAAAACAAAAAATCGATTTTTACTCCTTTCATTTATTTAATGGTCAAGTCCCGGTTAAATTACTTAGGAAAGCCCAGGTGTGTTGTGATGGCCTCTTCGAGCAACATTACTGAGCAGTGAAGAACAAGACAAGGATATGGACAAGGATACCGATAAAGATTCGACTGGTCAAGATTCGACAGTCTGGAAAGGTCTCTTTGAGGGAATGGTTCGCGAAATTACTGGAGAAGAAGACTATGAATTTGGCGACTTGGCTGAAAAATACGCAGACGCTGATAAGACATCCGATTACAAGTACAAATTTGGAGATATTACCAAGTCCATCGTTGCCGAATTGAGGCAAACTAGCAGCAAGGACGAGAAAGCGCAAGAGCTTCGGCAACGGCGGAAAAAAGCTTTCGAACAATTCCAAAATACCTTTCGCGAAAAAGATCTGCCAATTGACGTTGTCGAAACCATGTTTTCCCGTCTGGACAAGGTGCAACGAGTCAATTTGATACGGGCCGTGTGTCAGTTGGGTGCCGAAGGAACAGTCCTTTGGGGTTTGTGTACGAATCTCTGCACGCTGTTCACTGTCTCAATCTCGTGGATATGGGCGTTGCAATCCGCTACTCCCGGAATGTCATTGCTGCTGCCACCAGATAAGGAGCTCTGGAGGACCTTTGTCTCTAAATACACTGGACTGGATCTCGTGTTGAGCCCGGTCTATCTGATTGCAAGGGCAGTCATGACTCTTGTGGGATTTCGTAGGTATCATGCCTTTGTCAATCAACTCAGCCAAACATCGTTTGTGACACAACACGCACTCAGCGAACGAAGGATTTCAATCAAGTCAATACCCTTGCAAAAGTTCATTGCAGCTCTCTTGGCATTCTTCATTACCAACATTGTATTGTCCGGCATCACAGCAGCTACCGTGATCGGCTCCATTACAATGGTATTTAGAGTTTGTCAAAGGATATAACACTGTCAGATGGAAACGTAACTCAACACCATATTCGCAACTGATCCAAGCCGCAATCCATCGGAAGTGGGTGGCGTGACAGATCGTCCCCTTACTTTCTCTCGCTTTCTCTCCCCAAGTTATAGTCGAAAGTTTTCTCGTTGAGATAGCGTCACTGAAGTGCCTCTTCTAGATGACGTGCTCCGTAGAACTCTTTGATGGCCACTGCCGGCGTTGGCTGCAATACAAACGGTCCAGAGACCCGATTTCGCAGACGAAACACATTCCAGATTGCACACACTTTGTCCGGCAGAAACTCTTTGGTCTTGATCCAACCAGTATATTGCTGAATAAACCCGTGTGAAAGTGCTTGACTTTCTTGAGCTCGGCAGGACAAGCCGAATGATCAATCACATGCCAGATGGAAGATAGCTTTGGACGGGTAGTCAAGGTAAATAAAGGGTCAAAGATAAATATTCAGTACTCCTAATCCTTTATTCAAGAATACACCGTATTTACCGCACCTACCGGTTCTAGCTAGTAGGTACCCGAAATCACAAGCTGCCTTCCTGCGGCCTGCCACAAGACCACAAATCAAATATCTCGACCATGACATTCCATTGGGTGGGTGGATCAGCATCCATCGCTGTGCGAACAGTGCGTGGCACTCTGGGAACGAGAAGACTCTTCCATCACCTATCGGCATTGAATGGGTCACATCTAGTCTCCAAGCCCACCATTCCACAAGAACCGACTTCCCATTCCAGCAACGGTGATGTCCGTCAGTTTGCCTCTGCCAGAGAGGCAGCGTTCAAAAAGGATGAGGCAGCAACACCGTCGCCTGCAGAACTGACTTTTTCAACTCCCCAAGTCAAGGAATTGTACGAGCGAATGATTCAATTGGAACGAGACCAAGTATCCTTGGTGGGAGAGATGGTTTTGGGGACGTTGCGTATGCCGGTGGAACAAGACGAGTTCTACTATCATGGAATTGGCAAGAGTGGTGGCAGAGGTGGTGCTGGAGCAGCTGCCCCAGTGGAAGTGGTGGAAGCGGTCAAAAAAGGACAAATTTGACTTGAAACTGGCTGGATTTGATGACAAGACAAAAATCAAGGTCATCAAAGAAGTTCGAACATTGACAGGGTTGGGCTTGAAAGAAGCCAAGGAGTTAGTGGAGTCAGCTCCCAAAATTATTCAAAGTGACTTGAAAACAGAGCAGGCTGAGGAACTGAAAGAAAGACTAGAAGCAGTGGGAGCTCAAATTGAGCTCGTATAGCTCCGATTATGGCAATGACAATCATCTACCAAATATTTTGCCAAGAGATGCCAATATTATTATGTACGGTAGAAGGAACCACTCTGTTGAACAAATCAATCCATGTTACTAGCTAGTGAGTATATGAGATGCTAGCTTGGGCCATGATCAGTGTGAGCTACCTGTAGCTAAGTTGAAATTCAGAACAAGAGCTTCCCGTATCATAGTTCCCAGTTTTTCCATCCGCAAGTTGCGTAGCAACAAGCAAATTCATTCAACTACTGTTGCCAGCAATGCGCTGTAGTACGTCTAGAAAATGCCGGTACTGTCCAATACAAGAAATACTTGAGATTGTGCTCAAAGCCGGATCCTCCCGCAAACAGAATGTGGTCTTATCCTATTCGCAACAGAACATGGACACCACTCGAAGTTTCTACGATTCCACTCAATTCCCCAATCTGTAGTGCAAACGATGCTTCTTCAAAGGCAGGTTGCATTTTCTTGGGACCAAAAAAACCCAAATCACCTCCTCGCTTGGCGGAACTGCAATCGCTTTCTGTCCGAGCAATTTCCTCAAAGGTAGCTCGTTGATCTGCCCCTGTTTCTTCCTTCAATATATCGACCAAACCTTGCAATTCTTCCCTGGCCTCTTCTTTGGTGGCTGTAATTTTGGCTTGTCGCCATGATGAGGGCCGTCGACTGCCGCTGTGCTTTTTGAGAATGTGTAAAATGCGGACTTTGCTGGGTTTTCCACTGGATTTGGCTGGTTTTTTGTTCGGTGTGTTACCAGCCGCCATGTCTTCATGAGGGCGTTTACGACTGCTAGTATTGTTGTCGTTGTCCATATCGCCACTGTTTTCTGGGCCAGAATGCGCAGTCCTCGCAGAGGCTGATTCTTGGAAAGGTACTTCAGTGGCATTATGGCTGTCCATCATGGCCTGATCTTCATCTCCCCGCAGCTGGTGATGTTCTGCTTGCTCGATGGGAGAATACCAAGTGGATTCTCCAGTCTCCATATTGTAGTACAAGTAGTAATTGGGCTGTGAACGAGCTTCTCGCATCACCCACCCCGTCGGAAGCGGGGGTGGGATTGGTCGCAACACTGCCTTGTTGTCCAATGCGTGAGACACAGCATCCACCAACGACACGACGGCTGCATCTGGCACCTCTGTACTGGCGGTGGCACTACCAGTAGTAGTAGCAATCTCAGGCGAGGATTCCGCCATTGTTAGCTATTGTTGATTTGCTAGCTAGCGGTAGGGTTGTGGACCTTTGCTTGCCTTGGGGATTGACCTTGTTGCTTCCTTTGGCGCGTGACGAGATTGGCGCTGTTTTGAGTGTCCTCTTTTCTAAGCCTGCAGTACCGTACGGGTTGTTGTACGACGATTGGACAATGATGGAAATGATTGATTCGATTCGTATTTCGATGGCCCCAGATTTGTTCAGAGAAGCCACAAAAAGAAACAAATTGGCAAGATTTAATGGGTGAATTCAGTGCCGATTAGCCAGAAGTGGTCACTGATTGGCCAAAGATGGTAATATATTTATTCAATTAACCTGTGGGTTGGCCAGTAATGTAACACTATTTGTTTCATCTACATCATGGGCCGTAGCTGGCAGCCCTATCCAGATGGTAGTCAGGAAGCACTGTGATACTGGTACCAGGTACTAGTACCGGTGCCTCGAATATATGCATAGAAGGGGTAAAGAGTAGGGAAGCTATCTACGAAAGCCGGCGGGGGGCAAGCTTAGGCAAAGAATGCATGCGTCATCTGCTAGCTAGCAATCTCGTCGACTCAGTAGTTGCAAGATGGGGCGATCACCCTCCAGAGTAGGAGCTGAATTGGATTGGAAAAAATCATCGGGGGAATGATAGAGTGTAGCTTCCCATTGGCCCAACCGAATGCAAACCTCTTTGGCTTTCTTCCCACCTTCGCTGACCAGAGACTGGCTTTTGTGGCGGTCAGTACGGCTCAGGCTGCGCAGTTCACCCTGCAACACAATCAGACATGCAAATTGTCAGCCAGGTTTGAAACATTTCGGTGGCAAAGGGGCATGTATGCAGCTAATCTTACCGGAGGCATGGCAAAGAAGGGTTCCAAAACGGTGCTCGAGATGGCACAGGAAATGGTACCCTGACTCTCCGCTGGACCTGTGAATCTGGCATGTATTGCGTACCCGTACTAGAAGAAGCACACGATGAGATCTCCAACCCGCCACGTGACCACAGATATCCACTACCATAGCTGAGTACTCGCTCACCTTTTTGTCTCCATTCTTATCTCGTTTGCGGTCTTGCTTTCGTATTTTGTCAATGTTGAAATAGTGCTGATTTTCGCATTGTCTCAATGACGACACGACAAATACTTTTCCATGGTTTTGTTGATACACAGTTTTGTCTTGACAAGCTCTTGCTAGCAAGTCTCGAAGTTCGACGTAGGATAGTTTGGCAGTGGCTCCAGGAGGTGCACTAGTAGAGGAAGATGAAGCAGACAGTGTCATGTTGCCCAATGCTGCCATTGGCGTTCTTTGTGTTGTGGCATCCTCCATGACCACATCGGGTACTGACGTCGTTGCCGTGGCGCCACTGCTGGGTAGAGTTTGTTGTCGTGTGGTGTTGGCTCTTGCCGCTACGTTGGACGACGCCGATTGTTGCGATCCATGCTGCGAAGTGTAAGGATTGTGTTGTGGCCCTCTCGCTGTAGTGGCGGAGTTACGTGATTGTCGCGCATATGGATTCCCTGGTCGTTGCTGACGTGCGTTTTGGGGAGCTGCTGCTGCTACTGCTCTGGCCGTCACGAAAGTCCCCGTAGATGGTTGTTGTTGCTGTTGTGGTTGCTGTTGTTGTTGTTGTGGTACAGTTGGCACTGGTATGGGAGGTGATGGACGTACCCGATTGGGTGGTGGTGGTGGTGACACATGACTCGGACCAAAGGGTTGTCTGGCAGTAGTCGTGTTGTTGCCTGCTGTTGCTGTATTCTGTGGGTTGTTGCTGTTTGTGGTATTGAGATTGTGATTTGGCGCTGTACTGTTGGAATTTAAGAAGGGTTGTTGTGGTGGTTGTTGTGGTGGCGGTTGTACCGGATGCGGTTGCTGTGGTTCCCTCACAACATCTCCACTGTCCTGCTCCCCTTCGCCTTCGTCTGGTATGTTTCAGAGAATTTAGCAAATCGATTGAGATAATAATCCAAGGAAAACACTGCATTTTTGTTGTATATAACAAACAAACAAATAACACGTACCCTCATCCTCTTCGGCAGCAGCTTCCGGATTCCAAATGAGTGCCTTGACGGTGGCATCCACTCCCACACCAGCTTGTCGTTTGGCTTCTTGCATTGCTTCCGTTTGTTTTTCGACCAAATCTTGTACCCATCCCCCCATGACGAGTGCATTTCCCTCGTGCAGTAGCATGACACCCCATCGAATGGCAATGGGTCCATGAAGGACCATTTTAGTACCAGCCTTTGTCGTGCTGGTTAAGTTGGGAATGGACGTCACTTCCATGGCCAATAAATGATCATTATTATTATTGTTTGGATACCCATCGGACAGACACAGTTTGAGACAGCGTTGTTGCTGTTGCTGCTGTTGTCCTAGTCTGTGTTCGGCGGATTGCGCGACATTGGCGACTTCTTCCACTTGTACCATTAGCCGAAAGGATGGGGGTAGCTTGGCGACCATGGAGGCATCCTTGAGATTATTGTTGTTGTTGGATATGGTTTGTTGGGACGCCACTATGCGACGCCATTGCAATGCAGTATCAGTATTATTATTGTTGGTGGTCCTGGCATCTTCTCGCACCACATCCCGTAAGTCTTGGTAGAGAATGAACTGGAGGACATTGTCCGCGGAGATAGTCTGTAGCCGTTGGGATGTCTTGTAGCTCTGCAGCCAGCTTTTGGAGGGTCGGACTCCAGCCACGGTATAGAGCTCCTGGTAAATGTGGTCGTCTTGTGTATCATTATTGTTGTGTATCATTCTTCTTCTTCTTCCTCAGAGACGGCCGCCTCATCATTGTCACGTTCAAAGGCAAAAGTGGACTGTCATTGTCGCCATTTCCAAGTCCCGTGATGAGTATAAGTCACGAATTAAGGCGCGCGCGCACTGAAAGAAGACTTAACGGTCAGGATCTTTTGAAGGTTCCGAGCAAAAGATCCTTTTTGAGCCTTGAGAGATTTTCTGCTGGGTGTTTTTGTGCTTGGACCCTCATTCATCTTTCCCACACTGTTGCTTGGTTGCTGGCCACTTTTATTACTTGGTAGGACACAGAGAGTTGTTGGTGCAGTACCCTACCTATAGAGAAGAGGAAGATATCCATCCATAAGATCAATCAAGCCATCAATCAAAGAATCATGAGTGAAGAATCTGCGTCCTACACAGAACAAGCCGAAGAGCTGTTCACCGAATACACCTCGCAGATTGATTGGACGCTGTCCCAATGGGGAACGGAGGAAACCATCTTCATATGCTTCTATGCGGGATACTTCGTCCTCAACTATTGTCTGTGGAACACTGTGATTGTCAAACCCATGGCACTCATTGCCGTTTTTACACATGAAATGTGTCATGCCACGGCATGTTGGTTGACGTGTGGAAAAGTCGTCGGAATTGAAGTCTATGGAAATGAAGGTGCGTAAGGAAGATATTTACTATAAATGAGAAAGATGTCGACTCAATTAAAAGCAAGAACTAACTCACACGTCGTTTTGTTTTGAAATAGGTGGAGTTGCCAAGTACACGGGAGGTTGCCGTTGTTTGATCATTCCAGGTAAGACATCAATTAAATTTGGTTGTTCCGGCAATAAAGAAAAGTGATCCCATAACAGTTGCTTGTGGGTATCTTATTATTATCATCTTCCACAACTAACTTCTTCCATTTCTTCTTGTCTTTTCATATTCAGCTGGCTACGTGGGAGGCGCTTTCTGGGGTGGAGCTTTTGTCGCACTCTCGGGAAACCGCATTGGCGCCACCGTGGCCGGCTCCATCTTTACCGCGGCACTCTTGATCAGTCTACGATATTCGCCCAATTCGACGGTCGTCTGGCTTTCAGTAGGATTCACTGTCATTACCGTCGCGGCCATTTTGGTGGATTGGCTCTACTTTGATCCCTTTATCCAATACATCGTGCTCTACTATGGCGTTTTTATCGGGGTCTACTCGGTACGAGATATCTACGATGATTTGATTGTCCGAACGGCAGAAGGATCCGACGCCGTGGCATGCTACAATATGTGCCCCATGTGTCTGCCACGATGTGTCGGAGTGCAATGGGGAATCATCGGGCTGGCCTTTCAATTTGTGGGATTGTACATTGCCCTGTGCTGGTTGTCCAGTACGGGTATTGGAAATTAATCAAGTTCAATGCAAACTTGCCAAAAAGAAGAAATCATTCCGTGAGAAGCCTCCTCCGTTGGCTCCATGGCATGGCATGCCGAGTCGAGTCGAGTCCGATTGTGGTGAACCACGGTGGCGAGTTTGGGAGTTTTTGCCAACCAAAACGAGGGAGTCGAGTCACCACAATCTGCATTCGAAAGCACGGCAACCAACAACAACAGAACCAAAATGTCAAACTTTAGCATTGTTTGCGTCCATTCCTTCCCATGGTTGAGTTGGACCCACCATGCATACATTCATGATAATTAATTGCATCTTTTCCTCCTGCCTACTTGCATTGCAACCAGTCGAGGCTTTCTACAAATAAATGCTGCTGAATGGACTGCATAGACTGCTTGGCCGGTACCGTACTTCTGTATTGGCTTAGCTGCTATGTAGCTAGTAGACAAAGGTTCTTTCCATATCTCAGGAGTTGTGTTGGGTTTCTGTGGCATGGTTGGTTTCTGTGTCGAGTGTGCTTTGGGCTTCACAATCTGTAGAAGAGATTCTTCATTGAAATCTCATTGAGGTGGCTGTACCGTACCAGTGCTGGGTTTCGGTGCAAGGTTCCTTTTCTTTGTCAAGTAAGTGTCAAGGCCGGGTTTTGTGCAAGGGCAGCAATTTTGGACCTGGGGAACAACTGGCGAGGCACATGAGGCCGACCAGTCCCTAACACATAAAAGAAAACATGTTAGATTTAAAAGAGAAAAAATCGAAGTTAGCACGGGGTATAAGACAACACCAAAAGATAACAGGGAGTCCAGTCACGAACGAAATGACTTACACCGAAAAAGCCATGACACCAACGCCTCACCAAGCAGCGCAACCATGCGAAAAGAGGATCAGCAACCATGCGCAAACAGACTTGTAGAAACACCGAAGACTTGTAGAAACACCACATCAACAAACAGTCAAAAGCAAGGAGAGGGGGAGGGAAGGATAGCAGTGCTTCGAAGGCACCCAACAATGACTGAAGAATCGATTCTTGTAGGGCATGATGAAAGGACGGCATGGTCATTGTGGAAGTCATGCCGATGATCGATCGAAACAAACCACCAACAACGGTACGTGGGTGCATGGGGAGTATCTGTTTGTGGAACTGTTGTGGATAGATACAAGGCCGATGGTTAGTATAAGAAGAAAGGAACGAAAACACAACAGAGCAAAGAAATCATCATTGTTGCACTCACCATTGTCGATTGCTTCCAGGAAAAGGGGCAGGAATGAAAAAAAAGGTGGAGCTGCCGAATCATTCTGCCGCGAAAACCTTTCCAAAATTTGGCATCTCGTGCCAACTCTCGGCGCCCAGTTCAAATGAATGCAATTATCATCTACTGACTAAGCAAAGCAGCCGACATTGGAGTTGGCCAGCCCGCCATTGAGTTGGTTCGAAATGGTGCATGAGAAGCTTCTGGAAGGAAGGTAGGAAGGTTCTAGAAAACGGAGTAAGATTTCGAAAATTCCCTAGGAAGACTCCCAATGCAAGCATCCTGTTGTTGTTGGTGAATGTGGAGGATAGTCTTATTGATAGCAGTAAAATAGTCTGCAATGTCGCAACAGTACAATAGCCACCAATGGAACGGGATGTATCACTGGCAGCGGTATCATGGAGTGGGAGGATACGTACCCGCAATCCAAGGCCGAGCAACGGCGACGATAGTAACCGAGGACATGGGCAATAGGAACCAATTGAAGCAAACGAAACCATCTCAATTGTCTCATTTCGTTCTAGATGCCAAATGTAAACAGTGCTACACACTCAAAGACGCTCAAGCTGAAGTGTCCAACCATTATGGAGGCTATTACATGGATGACTATTGCATTAAAGCAGATGGAACGGAGAAAGGTAAAACGTGCGTCAAGTATAAATACCACTGCATTGCTGCTGTTGTGCACCCTCAGACTGGAATGCCAGTCAAGTGTAAATGGCGATGCCAGATCCGAAAGGAACAGGCGGAGAATGGAGACACCTTCCAGGTGTACTCAAAGGGTTTCTTGCAACACAATCACGAGATGAAGTCACACCCAAAGTCGCCACAGGATCAACACGGAATGCCCTTTGCTATACAGAGTTATGTTCAATCAATGCTTCAACATGAACATAGTGTTAAAAACCGATGCATTTTGAAGATGCGTCCAGAAGAGATTCGTCAAGCCATTATGGAAGCAATAGAGTGCAGCAGACGCCGAAATGATGCAAGTCACCCTCTGTACACTTACACCTATCTTTTACAGACTGACTTTCGAGAACACTTGAAAGGGCAGCTCAGAAGCTACCTGGATCATCAAAAAGTCCTGTATCTAGAAGCACAGTTGGGGAAGCAATACAAGTTGGACAATGCATACAATCTTTACAAAGCGCTGCAGAATTGGAGGATGGACGTACCAGCTGGATATAAACCGAAGCAATACGAGACTGCAGACCAACTCGCCGAAGCTCTGAACGCCGGTGTGGATGAGATGTTCGTATTCGATCTGTCTTTTGGGGAGGTACATAGTCTTTTCGCAAAGCAGATGAAACTGGACAGTGCTTCCAAGAAAGCAAACTTCAAGGAAAAGATGGAGCAGTCATTCTTCGCGACGTCCCCAACAGGTTTATTCATGCTCATGAAGCTTGCTCTTCGAACCAAAGGAACTCGACAGTTGCACAGGAGGAACATGTGTAGACATGAGTACTCTAATCGTCATTGGAGCATTGTCTGTAAAAGAAAGAGAGACACAAGGACAGGTCACAGCATCACTGCGACCCATTGCCTACTTGCATGTTAGCGCGGAACGATTTTACCCATACTGTCTCACATTGTATGTTCTGCGGAGTGTGTGCTGGCGGCTCTTCAACGTCAAATTCCACCTTGATTGGGGAACATCCGATAGAGCAGATGCCTTTATTAAAGCCCATCGGTACTTTCGCGACCACCCAACCTGCTGCGACAGTACCAAACAAAGTTGTGAGTACATCGGCAATGCCTTCACGAGTCATCGAAATGAGAGCACCACAGCAATAGTGGAGGATGTACCCAAGTGTGAACACAAAACGGATTACGTCGTACCCGATGGTGTGGTCAGTTCAGCTTCGAAATCCTCCACATCAATTGATTGGGTTGCATGGCGTCAACAGGCAATGATACCACCACAACATTATGCTTCCACACTGTGTCATTTCCATGTTATGCAACACTTTGTGAAGAACGATGGTTTCGTTAGAAAGTTCAAGAACAAAAGCTTTGCCAAAACAAGTAGTGACAATGTGAAATCGGAGGCTTACAGGCACGTGATGCTCATCCATCACTGCAAGACATCTGCACAAAGAGTCAAGGTCACCGAACTTGTGCTGCGCCACTGGTCCGAAGAACGCAAAGAGCATGATGCCGCAGAACATTACCTCAGAATGTATGCCACTTGTCCTTATGCCAACCATAACTATGCCTGCACCGGGTTCTGTGGAGTCCCTTGTATATATAAAAAGTACTAGTTTTAGGCAGACTACCTATCTGGTCCGGAGGACCTTTGTCAACGCTGGTACGAATCGAGCCCGAGGGCCCAAGCAACTGAGTCGTTTATGTGGGTGTTCGCACGACACGAGGGGAATAGCATTCAGTTTCATTGAACAAGAGGATGTACTCATAGAAGCACGATTGTAACTAGCTAACTAGCTACGCTCGTCTTTCACCTCCGTCCCCAACGAGAGGGGACAGGTCCTTGTTTCCCGCTACCACAATGAATGCCTCTCGTGGAGTGACCGGGGCGCAGTGGCCTAATCCGGTTAAGACTAAAATGTGTGTTCATCAGTTGTGTTGCCTTTGGAGCTGTCGTTCGCTGGAGCAAGTTGCTTTTGGAACTCTGTTCGGGCCGGTGGTAGATTCAAGCCTTCGTTTTGTCTTGTCGATGTGAATGTAGGTTGTGGGTTTTGGTTCCGGTGGACTCTCCAGTGGTCGCGGGAGTAGGCCTATGGTGATCTGGGTGTACTGTTGTCGAACCCGTTCGCGTAGAGTGTCCAGTTGGGTAGTTGGGTGGGAGTGAGGTAGTGCCATTGACGGCTTCATTTCGGTTGGTCCAAGGTTGTAGTGTAGGCTCCAGATCTTTTTGATGAAGGCGCTGGTCCAGCCAGGCCATCTCCGTTCTTCTTGAGTCGTTGCAGTGGTGTGTTTGATGTGTTGAATGGGGACCCTGCCAAGTAACATTCCACCAGCCAAGGTTGTTTGGTCGGCATGGCTTGGCGGATGGAGTTGGCAATCTGGCGGTGTTGGTGTGAGTGGTGTCGCTTGGTGCCACCGGTTGAGTTGGAGGAGGATCTGTGTTCGAGTCTGGGGTGGGTGTGTCTCTTCTTCATCCACTTGTTCACTCCGTCATTGTTTCTTCCATTCCGCTGTAGCAGTGGTGGAGTCACAGAGAGCACGTGGAGTTGTCTTCATCTTCGAGGCGCATCGCGGACAGTTGCTTGGTCTTGCCACTTCTTCGAAGTTGCATCCGTCCGACCGCGTAGTGTCCTGAGGCGTGTTTGGTTACCCAACGTTGTGTGCCAAGGGGGCTGCTTCTGAATGCCCGGCCGTGGGCAGTCCAGTTGGTGCGTTGCCACTTGTCGTTCCATGCTTCGGTGGAGTTCTGTGGAGTCCCTTGCAGCAACTGCAGCAATGAGAGTTACAACCACCATGCTATTAAAGCAAAGGATTCCCCGGTTGAACTGAATGTGTCACTCGCTCGACTACTGGTGGACACACTGGTAAGTCTTCTTCGAAGAGACTCTATGGACAGGGCCGATGCATGTACCATCGAGATCCCGAGAACATGTTCCTTGTTGTGTCTTGTGGCTTCCACGTTCCTCGAGATAAACCGTGACATCGTTCCCATCGGATGGAACGGTATGGGTATACCCATTGCCTGGGTCTCAAATGTGGGCTTTCGAATCGGTAACACTCTCACAAAGGAAAGGATTGACTTAATCAAGTCATCCCTGGATGGAGATGAAGAAGCGTTCGAAGATCTTTATTCAGAGAAAGGACAATCGCGTGATGTCACGGCAAGAAAGATGATATCAGTCACAAGGAACTGTTGTGTGCTTACCTTGCGGAAAGAAGACAAAGCAGTAGTCGGTGACTGTGAGGATTGTCGCAAGCGAAATGGGTATAATTGCCCAGGGGCTGCATTCCTTCGAAGCCGATATGGACAATTCGATGTTCAACTCGAAGATATGCGCAAGGTTCCAAGCACTACACGGAGACGAGGATATAAGGCTCAAGGAAGGGGCAGGAGAGATGGCATGTACACGGGAGGCCTCTTGAAGAACGGTCGTG